GTATGTGGGGTAAAGCAGCGGAGCTTTTATTATGCCACAGTCGACCGCTTCCGCTGCTTCCGGTCGTGCGTATGTGGGGTAAAGCAGCGGAGCTTTTATTATGCCACAGTCGACCGCTTCCGCTGCTTCCGGTCGTGCGTATGTGGGGTAAAGCAGCGGAGCTTTTATTATGCCACAGTCGACCGCTTCCGCTCCTTCCGGTCGTGCGTAAAGCAGCGCTGTTTTATCATACTAGATACATTTGAAAGTTCTGTTATAATGCTACTCTGTGCGGTCATCACCGGTCTATTAGAACGCACAACATATTAAAGCGTCTTTGGTGAAATCGAGGGGTTATGACGTCATTGGCAGGCGACACAATGACACTATGGACACGGTCCGTCATCCGTGCCACTAGAATTAAAATTGCTTATTTCTCTGGATTTAAACATTCTTCGAAACATTTGGGATAATGTAAGTACACAAGTCAGCAAAATATATAACATTGTTCTAGTGGTTTTCGGATATTTTAATAAAAAAAATCTTACATATTGTGCCTTTAAATCATTGACCCCAAGGAGCTGAAACATCATTTGGGGTGGATACCATAGACATATAAATACCTAGACGCCTCATTGGCCGCTTTGAGCCGTTGCTGCGATACGTCAACGCGTCCGCCATGTTTGTGAGGGCAAGACTGCCTTAAAAATAAATGGAGGTAAACGGGGAGCTGCGGTTTTTTCTGGATAAAAGCACGATAACGTTTACATTTATCAACCGATTTCAGAGGTTTGTGATCCACATGGAGTTAAAAATAACTCTGCCTCCAGTTATTTAGTTAGGTTTGGAAAATTATTAATTTTCGTAAGAAATTGTGAAAACTCACACTTGTCTCACTTGTTGATTTGATTGATTTTTTCGGTTTACAATTCTAATGTTAATGTACTATAACTGTTACATATACATGTTTTGTAATTTTAAGGTACATTAAATGAAATTAAGTTGTTTCATTGCTTCAACCCCAACATTTTAGCTTTTCTTGTGCTTCAGGTCAGCTCATTCCCTTTGAAATACTGGAAGAAAATC